TTTATTAATAAAAAGGTAACTGATAAGACCATACCATCTTCTCTGGTTCCAAGGTTTAACCACAGACAATAGTCTGAAATTTCAGTGTGTCCAAACTCCCAAAAATGTATATGGTCCATGGTAATTTCTGAACATTTATATATTTTTTGTTGCCAAAATTGTAATTATCTTATTTATCATTTGGTGGTGGTTACAATGTAATTATTGTTCCTAGTCAAAATAACAACAAAACCAACTAAATCGTGATTTGATCGTGCGACCATAGTGGTCTGGATTCAGGAATTAGACTCAATAATGATTAATAAAAATAAAAATTTCTTAAAGCATTTTGGAAAAAGGGAAAACATTACTAGTAATTTCATTAATGTTCATATGTGTATGTACGATCGGAAAAAAATAGTTGGGAGAATTGACACAAGAAAATTTGCATTACTTATATAATGGTGGTGACATGGCCCTCTAGTTCTCTTTCTTTTTCTTTGTACACCAATCTATTTGGTTGGTACACGATACAATCGAAGTTTGGTAATTAATAAATATGCTTTCTTTTCGTAGCAATATTCATAAATCATAATTATGATTTCTTAGGTTGCACTAATATTTGTATTTTATACCTAAAACGGTCAAAAGTTAACCCAACATTGGTTTTGATGGTTTCTGTAGATTCTGTTGTCTCGGTTTGATCGTCATTAACTTGTTTTTCTTTGCACTGATAAATTATTTTTATGCTACTTATTTTCTTTGAATTAAATTACTATAGAATAATTTTCAGAGAAGTATTTTAAGTTTATATTTTGTTTAGCCACCGTCGCACCGATATTGAATAAGAATATTCTCATAAACGAATAGAAAAATATTGCGATTAAATGTTTCAATTTCTTTGTTCTCCGTTTTACGAAATATATTTGTATGCTTATATTATTATTAAAAGAAAAGATGAGTCTATAGTGGCATTAGTTGTCGTTGCACATTTCAAATGATTTTAAGAAGACCAAAACCAATTAGAAGTCCATACAAACATAGATTTACACCAAGCAAGGTACTTTCTCATAACAAAAACGATTCCAAGTTTCTCTCACCTTCCGAATTTTGATATTATTTCTCATAACTATTTTTTTTTTGTTGTCATCAAATAATTGTTGTGGGTTGCAAATATTTTAATGTATTATGTTTATCAAAAAAATAGATACAGGTAAGGTGGTGTTTAGACTTTTTTTATGCAATGAAAATAACTTGATATCGCTGACTTTTAGAGCATAAATCTAAGGACCACTCATATATAGCCGGTCTATATTAAAATAGTAGAGCGTATCGCACATGAAAATGTAACATACCAATCAATATTCAGAATTATGTGGCGTATATATAGAATAGCCTATAGTCGCGCAAGAGAATTATTATGAGCTAGAGACCGGTCTAAAGAACACAGAAATCCGAAGCGAACTATTTTTACTTATAAACAATAGTTAACTAAACGGTTAATCACTAATATGGTAAAAATATGAACACCTAAACGGTCAATTAATCGAATTTTAAAAAGGTCAGTTAATCCATTTAAACATTAAACATTAACTGAACATCTGATTAACACGCCTACAAAGTATATAAAATTAATCTATATTATACAAACATTTAGAGTATTATAGTGTATGATCCACCAACTAAAGTAAGAGAAGACAAAATAGTATCTGCGAATACATCTTTTTAGCTAGCTAGATAACTAAGATTAGGAGGATGGTCATAATGATTTTCTAAGTGACATGCACAATATTTAACAAGATTAATTAACTATGATAATTAATAAGATTCGATTAAAACACTCACTGCCTCCTACAAATCACTTTTCCATTGCAAACTATATAGAGAGATACAAGCAATAATGAATTTAGTTACGTAGCCACCCACAAACCCTAACCCTAGATAGAATCTCATCCCTCTACTTATATTGAGAGTTATTTAGAATTTGAGAGTTATTTCACTTCCATTAATATTGCTCTGATTTTCACCTTCTTCCCTAAGAGCAGCCAACCCTTTTCTCGCTCCACCACCACTCTCCGGCGACTTCTCTTCATCGGCAGCACTGTCCGTTAACTGATGGCCTGAATCGGTGGAGGCGGCGCCACCGCCGGATGAGCCGTTAAACGTTTGGAAGTGGTTGTGGTGCGACGGAGGCGGCGGAGTTGTGTAGAATTCTTGAGAAGAGCAATAGTGCGGTGGAGGCTGCGTCGCTGCGGTGCC